TGTGGCAAGCACCTTTACCTGCTGAACCATTGAGTCAGCCCTTCTTGCTTACTTTTTATTGAGCACATGAACAGGGCAGCAGGGATGAATTAGAAAAAATCACCATGCTTAATGATGGTTCATGGAGCATATAGGCACCTCCAAAGCAGGCATCTGGAGTATCTGATTGCCTCATCCCTCAGAAGGAACAATGTGTGGGAAGCCTTGCCCATTGTGTCGGGAAGGCCGTTCAGTTATGAGAACCGCCCCCAAACTGATGCCAGCATCGTGTGCTTGCACCTCCAATGTAGAGCCACGACCCTGTTTTGCCACCTTGTCTGCACATGGCTTCTTTTCCTATTATGATTCTGTAAGAGAAAAAGAGGCTAGGATGTTTTTCTTTGTAGTTCCAACAATAACAATTACAAACCACCATTTTCTGCAGGCTCACAGAACCCTATTCTCTTCTGTTCAATATCATTATTTTTCTGATCAAGGGTTGAAGCCCCAGAGATGAATTAAGCCATTTACTTGAGATCACAAAGCTGGTGCCAATCTGACTGTAAGCCTGTGCTCTTAACCATCTACTGTAAAAGGCCCCTGCTTGGAAACCTTAAACCCCAGAATCCCGGGGCGAGGATCCCCATCCCTTCTGAGGGAGAAACGGGATCTCCTCCAGGAATATCTTTTCTGATCTGAAAAGAACCAAAGAGGTAGATGCACCGGATGCTGACCCAGGATAACACTGGGCTGTGCCTAAATGTTAATTGAAGCACGGTGCAATTAAACTTAGCAGTGAAACCGAGGCAAAACAGGCCCAGTGGAGCTGACATTAAAATAAACGCAATGCTCAGCAGCCAGCCTCGTTTAATGCCCAGAGAGACTCCCAGCTGAAGATGTCTGAGTAAATACGAAAGGGATTTGAAAACTGGTGAAGCTGGGTTCTAAGTAGAAGCCATGAAAGAAAAAGATTCACTCTCTTTAAAACTCTTAAAAATCTCAGTCAGGAGTGTCTCTGGCAGTCTATTATTAATAGTATGAGGACTTTCATGCCAATTTAACGTTTTTTGACACTTTTAAATTGGAAGAGACAAGCCCAAGTGATATTTCAGGATCAATGTTCCTTGTCAAAGAAGATAAGGCAGCGAAACTGTTTTCAATTAGGAGCAGTGTCTGTTCCACAGAAGAACACTTCCCGCACAATGAAATCCATCCTCCTTTGAAATCCAGATTCCTTTAAAGAGAACCTGGTGCACTGAATAAATGCCTGTGAGCTCAGAGGAGGACGGGCCCAGTAGTAAGAAAATC